GTATGTGTGTGTGTGTGTGTGTGTGTGTGTGTGTGTGTGTGTGTGTGTGTGTGTGTGTGTGTGTGTGTGTGTGTATATATATATATGGGATCGACTCCGATCAGATGACATGTTATGGTAAGATGTCATGCTTTGGTGAGATGACGCCAAGCTCACCATATTATACTGCAAAGCTCAACAATGGCCAATGCAAAGCTCACCTGGAAATAAAGCAAAACTTACCACTTTGAACACCAAAATTCACCATCTTTTAAAATTTTAAAAATAAAAAAATTAATTAACAAAAGCAACGCCGGTCAACCACCGCTCAGCGGTGGCAACCGGCGACTTGCAGCGGCGGAGACTGACCGCCACTGATCGGTGGCGATCGGAGATGGCGGCAGCAGGGTTGGTCAAGGCGGCGGTTAGTGGTCAACATGGGTGAAAGTCAAAGTCAACACATTTCTTCCTTTGATTTTTTTTCAAAAAAAAATCAAAGCGTGAACACTACAAAGCTCACCAAACTGTAAGGCAAAGCTCACCATATTTTTTCAACACTTTGAATTTTTTTTGAAAAAAATAAAATCAAAAGAAGGGGTGCTGACTAGATTTTGACTGTTGACCGCCACCTGCCACCAGCCACCGCCGCGCCGCCGCCTGCTGCTGCTGGCCACCGCCACCTTGCGCTGCCGGACGCCGCTGCTGACCGGTGGTTGACCGGTGTTTCTATTTAATTCTTAATTAATTTTTTCATTTTTAAAATTTTAAAAAATGGTGTGTTTTGGTGTTCATAGTGGTGAGCTTTGCTTTATTTCCAGGTGAGCTTTGCATTGACCATTAGTGAGCTTTGCAGTGTAATGGGACAATGTGGTGAGCTTGGCATTATCTCACCGAAGCATGTCATGTCACCGTAAGGTTTCATTTTATTGGAGTCAATCACACACACACACACAAACATAGATATATACATACATATACATACATACATACATACATACATACATACATGTACATACGTACGTACGTACATACATACATACATATAGATACACACACACACACATACACATATACATATACATACATTTTAGACGCCCTAGTATCATTATACATCTTACTCTTTCATGCTTGTGGGGATTAGATATTTTTCCTTGTGGTGGAAAAAGATCCAATAGACTTGGAGCTCGGCTGGAATATGCTTCAAGCTATTAAGCACGAGTTAGGTGTTATCCCTTCCCGCAAGAGCCTTGATGTCCTCCTTAGTGCATGTCAGAGCTCCAAAGATATATCATTTTGCTTCAAGATTTGGGAAGAGTACCAGAAAGCTGGTCTTCCTTACAACATACTTAGTTATTTGAGGTAAAACCCTGCACCTATCTTTGTCATACTACTGTTATTTGTTTGGTTAAATTTCTGACAGTCAAATTTGTGTAAATATGAATCTAACATGATCATGCTCCATTTAGGACTGGCTGCAGTCAAGGCAGAACATGTCTTTCTGTGAAATGACCATATTCTTTTTTCTTTTTTTTTCTTTTTTTGAACGAAGTGCAGAATCTGTTAACTCAACCAAAGTAGCCAACAGTAACAGTATACAACCATCCGTGCTAGAGTATGGACCAAGCTAAAACACAGCAAATAACAATACTATTCTTCCCAACTATTTCTATAACCTTTATGGTAAATATAAATAGTACTCTGATATTTCATATTCTGAAAGTTGTCTTCCATAGTAAACACCTTATGGAGCATCATATTTCTTGCCCTCGAAATTCCATAGCAAGCAGCCACGTACACAGCACATTTAGCCCTTTTTCTCCTTCTGGGTTTCACATTCCTCAATTTAAGTTCCACCTCAGTGGATGAACTCCCACTGATATCAATTCCAGTCCAGTCTGCCAACCTTCTGTGCACTACTACTGATAGCATCTGAAGAAGAGGTCAATACCCCCTCCCCCCACCTCCTCCCCGCATGCACACACTCATCATACACTCTGCTCACAACTCGCAAGCCAAATACTTAAGACAGTGTACTGCTTGTAAGTAGTCTGTTTTTGCAAAGTAACCAGAGAATATTAGGTGTTTAGGCAAAGCAAGCTTCTTCCAAACCAGGTTGTGCCAATCTGGATTCTCTCTGTCACCTTTCAATCCCTTTGATATCAAAGTCCTCCCCTGTAGCTGGGTAGGTGCCTTGAGCTAGGGGGTGGTGTTGCTGTTGAGTGCTTTTTATGCCTTGTATGTAGACCTGGCAATCGGGTCAATCGGTTCGGTTCCGGTTCGGGTCTTTTCGGTTCGGGTCTCTTTCGGATATATGTTATAATCGGTTCGGGTCGGTTCGGTTCGGGTCAATTCGGTTCCGGGTTTATTTCGGGTTGATTGGTTTTCGGTTTCGGTTCGGTTTCGGTTCGGGTTTGTATCGGTTCGGGTTTGTATCGATTCGGGTTTATATCGGTTCGGGTTTATATCGGTTTGGGTTTTTATCGGTTCGGGTTTGTATCGGTTCGGGTTATATCGGTTCAGGTTTGTATCAATTCGGGTTGTATTGATTTGGGTTTATATAGATTTGAGTTTATGTCGGTTTAAATTTATATTAGTTCAAGTATAATGTAAACACATACATACTAATAAATGAAATAAATCACATAATAAATTTAGTTAATTTAGTTAACTATAATTTTTATATACTTTCTATAAAAATACAAAAGTATTTTAACTTAAGTTATAAAATGCAAAGTAAAAGATTTGTACATGAAAGTAGTTACATGGTTTGCACCCATAATTTAAATATGTTTTTTTAAAACACATCAACATATGTAAAAATATATAGGTAATTCATTTTCTCCAAATTCATTTGATAAATGAAATATTAATAAATTTGATCAATTTCGGGTCTAATCGGGTTCGGGTCTAATCGGTTCCGGGTTTAACCGGGTTCGGGTTTAACCGGGTTCGGGTTTAATCGGTTCGGGTTTAATCGGTTCGGGTTTAATCGGATTCGGGTCTGAATCGGGTCTGAATACATTCGGTTCGGGTTCGGTTCGGATCATTTCGGGTGTTTGGTTCTATTTCAGTTCTTCAGTTTTCGGGTCAAATCGGGTTCGGTTCCGGGTTATTCGGTTCGGGTTATCGGGTCCGGGTCAGTTTTGCCAGGTCTACTTGTATGCTTGGTGTTATTTGCTTGCAGTACTTTTCCTTCGTTAACTTTAGTTTGTTTTTTTACTCTGGGTGCTTGGTACTTTATCTATGTTGTATTTGTGCTTTCCCTTCTTTGTATATGTGATCCTTCTATATGTGCAGCTTGAGCTGGGGCCTGGGGGTGTCTTGAAATAGCCTCTCTACCTTCGAGTACGGGCAAGGTCTACTTAGAGTCTTGCACACCCTCCCGAGACCCTATTTTTCATGGGATCCAACTGGGTTGTTGTGTTGTTGAGATTAATAGATTAACGGGCCCACTTTTTCCCATGCTTGGCTATGTTACTCGGAGCTGAATATGAATTATTTGTAAATTGTAGCGATTGAGCATAATCTTAGTTCCACCACACCGGATTGCCTGAATATATGACTCAATCAGGCAGGATGGACCACTGAATTGTCTGATTATATTCAATCAGGCAGGATGGACCACTGAATTGTCTGATTATATTGCTAGTTTTTTTCCCTCCTTTTTTTGGCTCTTATACATGTCAATATGTGTGCAGGATGTACCAAGTTCTTTTGGCCTTCGGGCTACTAGAACATGCGACAACATTACTAAGTAACATTCCACATGAAGATCCACATATTTGCTACGTCATCAACGCATGCCAAACAGCTTACACAAATTCTCAAGATAAAATGAAAGGTTTTGCCGTATGAACTTTGCAGAGCTAATTGATATTCTATGTTCTTTTTGGGGATTACTATAACGAATAGGTTGCCTATGCATTGAACAACTCCAGTGAGCATTCTATCAACTTCAGTTTCCTCTAACGCCTTCAGGCTTTTTTGTGAAGTCCATGATCACAAGCCCGCATAACTCAGGCTTTGCAAGGCCAATTCACGATTCATCAGTCCCTCACGGTTTTTGGAACCCGATTCTGACTTTGTTAGTGTATGTTAGATTCCATTATATGTATAGTCAATAGTCAAACAAAAATATACTCCTTTTGTAACTTTAACCTTTGACTCTAGTGTCGGATTTAGGGTATTCAAGTGACGTTAGAAAGCTTCTCATTATTGGGGTTTAGAAGCTTAACTGCTAAAGATTCAAAGGTAACTTTTGTACGACACTTAAATTATTGAAATCAAATACCCGAGTAAATAGTTCGAGTTAATATTTGACTTCATTTTTATTTTTAAAAATTCATGTAAATACTCTCACAAGTTTTTGATTTTATGATTTTTCTTTTAAGCCTCAAATGCAAGTTTTGACTCTTTTGTGCCTAAATAAATTTTGTATTTACGGCTTCCCTCTCATGCTCCCTAATCGCTCATTTTTAATCCATGTGTAATTAAACATATATTGTTTCTTTTCTCTACAATGATCCAACCAGATCACAACTTACAATTCGTATCATATTCTTTTACTAACGCTGTTTTTTGCTTAAAATTCCTAATTTAGTTCTCCAATCCCCACGCCCGCTTCCATCTTTGTACATAGTCACATATATTTATTGCAACTTCTTCGTTTTCTTCTTCATCTATTGTTTACATTAATTATGAAACAAAAGTATTAGCATATTAATTTGTGCGTGTGGGCGAGGGAACAATTGGTGAGGCACATCAAGTTAATGTGACTTGATACTCTAATGTAATTAGTGCTTGTCTAATTGTCTTAGCTTTGAAGTAGTTATTGCCAAAGACAGACCTTATTGTTTAACAAATAGGTCCCACTTATGGCTCGTTTATTCCTCGATGGATCGTCAACTTTGTCAAACGTTAACCACCTTCCATACTCATTTTCGCTACTCGTTTTGACAAAATAATATAATCATATATTATTTTTGTAGCACTTTTGATTTAGTTTTTAAATATATACACTTTATTTTTTAATTCCACACCAATTTTCAAATAAAATAAATTGAAAATAATTTCGACCAAACTTCGTAAACAGCAACAGACAATTTGAATTAGAGCGGAGAGAGTACTATTCTAGAACAATAAAATTGGGGGATTCTTTAATTGGAGCCAAGCATGCCCTACATTTCTTCATACACTGTTTTGGTAGAGAGAATTTTGTTTTATAAAGGCTAAGCTTTTGACCTCTAAAGCATACCTACTACTGCATAATTGTGTTGAGTGTTGCACTGCATTTACTTCAGGGCTGAATTAAAATTTAGGCTAAAAAATGACAGTCCTTTGATGGCGAAGAGCAAAGCGACTGGCAAATTTCATACAAATGTCTCGGAAACATTTTAAGGAACATCATTGAACTACAACTCTTGAACTTGGGACATGTTGGAATTTCAGTTGGAAAAATAGTAATACTACAAAGCAGCGTTGAAGAAGATGGTATACGAACGTGAAGGACAAACTTGATAGACTGAATAAATTGCGCAAAAATACACTTTCAAATTAAAGTGATTTCAAGATATATTAAAATACATCATCGGATAAGACATTAATTCAAGAACGAACACTGAAAACTATGTCTCAAACATACCCATCGTTCTTCATTTGTAAAGAACAAAATAATGATCAAACATATATCTTGGCGAAGACTCAATATGTGGTGAAAGGGTGCTGTTAGGTTTTCCACTTCAAAATTCAAACTGAATTATATATTGATAATAGATGCACCCTTTGGTAGAGGTCCATGCCGGCGTAGGGGGATTTCAAACGTATTTTCTTATGTTCGACATGAAACGTTTTAGGCATCAGATTACCCAAGAAATGGGTTACTATCGCAGAGGTCCATGCGATGCGACCCTCGCCAAGGACTCAGCCCCTTGAACCCCGCTAACGAGGGTTGCTGCCCCGAATTCCCACTATCTGTACTACCGCTGAACGAGAATACACTTTGCACCTATCAACTTGTTTAACATCTATTCTTATTCCTATTTGATCTAAGTAAATCCAATTACATAAAGGATACATGAAATTCAAATTATGGAATTAGAATTAAGGACAACAATTCAAATTCAATTGTTTGGTAGCACAAAAATATGTGAATTTACAATTAGTAGCGCCAAAGAATGAATTGGAATTGGAGAATTTAATTCTATCCAAATCAATTCCATAGAATTTCAACTCCCGATTCAATTCTAATTCCATCAATTCCATGTACCAAACGGACCCAAAATAATTGATCACACTAAAATCACCAATAAGATTTTCATTCAAAAACATTTCCTAAATGTATCTGAGTTTAATTGATCTATACATATGCATCTGTATTGAATACAAAATTCGAAAAGAATGTTGGAGATGAACTACACATGATATGATAGTACATGACAAGAATTGCAAACAATACTTAACTAAATTTCGGTCCTCAATCGCAGCAAGAGTTTCTGCATACTTTCCAGTTTCTGAGACATTTGTATGAAACTCTCAAGCTGCTGCTTGGTGCACAACTCCTTCTCAAGAGCTTCACACCTCCCCTTTGTTTCCAAGAACAACTCTTCAAGAGAAGCCACCGTAGCATCCAAATCAGGATTTCTAATTCCAATGGAAGGCGGACTTATACTATTGGAAGCAGGAGCGAATATTCTCTCAAAGCCTTTGCTCCCTGCAATTCCGTAACACCAACAACGTATGTATAGATTTAGATGACTGCTCAATTCAAATGAATGAATGACCCGAAAAATAGTCCAATTGTGTTGTGTATGGAAAAAACTACTTAATACTATTGGCAACATACTGTTCAAAGCAAAACTTCAATCTTCTTTGGAGAATTCTTTTGCTACTTGGCTAACCTCCAAACTTTGAACCCCACCCACCACCTCCCCCCAGGTAAAATATTTTACGTGGTATAATGCAAAACGATTTTACACAAAAAAAAAGCAAACCAGATGATTTAAAATCTTTGTCGCCCTACACTCTGCATAAGAAGAAGTGTTTACTTCGCATCAACCAAACACCCACTCTGTAACCCACATGGAATTGATCACGTTACTTAGTTGGCTCATTCCACACATTAAAAACCCAAGTAGATTTATTGTAAACGGACAAGAGAATTGCAAAGATACCTAAGTTACTTAGTTGGCTCATTGCTTCTTGGCCAACTGAACCGTCTAATTTGAGTACCCGTAGGATTCCAGCAGTTATCCGACCCATAGAATTGATCTCGGAATGGCACAAAAAAGTGAGGTATTGCAGCTCATCCTTTGTCACAACCGCTTCAATCTGTCAAGAGTACACAAAATGAATAAATACCGGTTCTTTATTTATACAACTATAAGAACGGTAGCACACAAAGAGCTAATTTCTATCAAATCAAGGCAACTATATTCACCGGTTCTTTTACTGAGAATTTCACATTCTCCACTACCCACTTTGCCATTCTATCATCAATCTTCTCTTCTGAGCTAACTAGGTCAACTTGAAAGTTTACACCAGCATATGTCTCAGAAGCTTGTTTGAGCTCTCTATCCACAAGAGCACCTTGCTTGGCAGCCTTATGAATTTGTGGCTTTAATATCTGCAAACCTTCCACACTAACCTGTAAGAACATTTCTTTGTAAAATTTCCTTCTCTGAAAATCTAATGATTTTACAAATCAAGTAAACCACATGCATTAGTAATTTACGATGTCCCAAACTGAGGCTACATCCATTTATTTCTGCAACACATAAAGAGGACCCTTGTGGCCTCTGTTCAATAATGGTTCAATTCCGTTGGTAAACTCACGGGTATATAGTAATATATGGACTAAAGAGAAAAGTGGAATCTCACAGTAACCAACTCCACTGGGTGTTTTAGTTTTCCACAAAGCCTTGAACTTCTGTTCCCCATTTGCTTAGGACTACCTTTTGCTTTGACTCTGATGCTTTGGAAAGAAGCATGCCAGGACCTCTCTTCTCTGGAAGAGTCTTGATGATTGTGGAGCCTCCATCTCTCTGCTGACTCTTCCGCACCTTCGAGAGCAAATAACCAGTCTTTCAACTCTATGGACACATCCAAATCATCAGGAGTGCCAAACTGCAAGATACCACTATCCTTTCCACCATCTAAGCTTCCATCTTGAGAGGGAAAAAAAACATGAGAATGGATAATGGACTGCATTAAAAAAAAGATATAAAAGAACGTGAGTACGAGAATAGGCCATACATACTCTCTTTAAGCTCTTTCACAATTAGAGGTGTTGACTCAAAAAGTTTGGATAAAGGCCCAGCAGATAAATGCTCTAATCCTTTAGTAAGCCCCTCTCCTGGGCTTCCATCTGCTCCAAAAATCCCAAATCTTAGGAGCAGTGCTTCAGCATAATTCATTCCTCCACCAAGTCGAACTCCAGCTATGCAAGCTGAGATATTCAGACTATGAGATTCTGTATCTTGCTTGTTGAATGGTATTACATGCACCATGTTTACATCCAAAAGAGGAACTGACATAACCTTGTCAATTGATTGACGGTTCTTACTATTTTGCACCCAAAAAACAGTCCTAAGCTGATATACATCTGTATCCAGATAAGCATTGGGGTTTGCAGTTAACACCTGGTCATTTTGATTTGCCAAGCTAGGTGCAGTGTCGGTGCAATCAACCTGAACACTCTCCCACACTAAACTGGATGAGATGGCAACAGCACCACCCAAGGTTCTATGAGTAACTTTAATTAATAGCTCATTGCCCGAAAATTGAATCAATGGCATTCCAAGCTTACTTTGAGAAGATTCCAAAAAGCTTAGCCGCAGGTTTTTCACAGCCAGGCACACACCACTATCGCCAGGAACATTTTGGTTTAATACACCCAAAGATTCATTTCTCATATCCTTTAGTGGGTTGTTCTGTGCAATCATTGCAATCCTTTCACTGACCCTCCCGAAATATGCATAAAGGTCAAGAACAGCAAATAATTGCTCAGCTGAAGTGTTGGACATATATTGCTGACAAGCAACTCCAACTCTAATAATACCCCCTGGAGGTGGTACATTTGTTAAAGGGCTTCCATCTGCAGTGGCCATTGCAAGCTCCATGCACACATCTTTCAACTCGACACAACTCCATGAATCTGAAGACAATGTAGAAGTACTTTGAACTGTGGATGGGTTACAGGTTTCTAGAGACAAACTAATGACAGAAGCACCAGCCCTCCATTTCTTCTGGCTGGAATCAATGGGTTGTCCTTCCCAAAGACAAAAGCATGCTGGATCCTTCTCGAGGTTTAGTAAATTTTGTTTTAGCATAGGTGACTCAGAGAAAAACAAGTCTCCAATATGGAGTCTGGTCTCAGAAAATAAACTGTGAGAAGTTCGGGTATTTATTTCATTGTTAGTTTGTCTCCCGACACCTATGGGAACTGTGATATCCAATCCCTTAAGACTTAACATGAGGGAGCCAATTGAGAATTCAGGTAAAACTGCACCAGGTCTTACTACAATTCCATCAGCTAGAAAGGAAGCTATCCTCAAACATGAATCTTCCTGAAGATGAACCTGCCATCATGACCAACTTTGATTATTATTGTAGTAGAACAAATTTCAGAAATGGTCATTTGGAATTGAATTTTTTCCACATTTAGCCCACCCCACAAACTAATGTTTCTTGTGGTCTTGTGTGAGTTGTGTATTTGAGAACACATCCAATAGAGGTCCTCCATTAAAATTGTGTTAATTATCCATTTAATTAATCAGTAGATTCCAACAAACGTCCTTTGTAAATGGAGATTATTCCACGTTTAGTCCTGAGTAAAAATAAAAATTATATTATTTTGTACAAATACTTGTTTTGTTAAAATAATTTGTCATTATTCTTTTGTATAAACCCTCCCAATTATTCTTTTCAATTGAAATATTTAATATTTTCTACTAAAAATCTCTTTTTTTAACTATTGTCTGTTACTACACTCTGAAAATGAAAATATAAAAACTGTAGGAACATAAACTTATTAAGACAACATTGATTAATCTAACAATAAATTAAAGTCTTCACTCACACATCTCAAATTTAAATTGTACCATTTGTACCCTGGTTTTCAATTCATATTGATATTTCCCAGGTCACATTTTTTAAAGCAATAATATTTTTTAGTTTTTCTATTCATTCTATTAAAGACACAAAAGAATTTGTAATTTCATATTATTAAAGGTTTAAAAAAAAGGTTTAACATAGTTGATAAATATGCTGATATATTTACCATGAGGGGCTGACAATGGATGACAGTTTGAGAAGCAAAAACAGGTGGGGAAGGGGTGGGCTTGAGCTGTAGAGAATGGAGAGATATTAAAGGAGTGCCGCCACCCAATTGCCACTGTGTTTCTCCCAGAGGATATATTGGAGAACAAAAATTTTTACCTGTTAAATCATTAAAATAAGTAATGGCTTAACATGGACCAAATTAATGGACTTAATATAATGCCCAACACAATCTATGATATGGTACCAAAATCAGGAATGGGCAGCACATTGTCTGAAGAAGCCTGCATTGGTGGTTGCACTAGGGTGCATGGTGGACGCAAAAAAGTGTCCCTGCATTAAAATATGGAACATACTAAGTAAATGGAACATATCATTAAAACTTTCATTATGGTATTTTCAAACACCATGAGAAATTTATATTTTGGTGGGAAGCAGAGCAAAAGGACTATTTTCTATTTTACTTCTGTATCACGAAAATAAAGAGAATAAATGCAGTAAAACAAAAAGACTAGTCGGTTCTGTTTGCGGAATAAATAAAGAATACGAAATAAGTAGTATTTTTAGCAGGTTCTGTTTGTGGAATAGATGTATGTGCACTTATTCCGCAAACAAGTTGGGTGTGCATTTATTTTACCAAAAATCGTTATTTTTAAAGTTTTTTTTAATAAACAAGTGTCCCAAATGTTAATAAAGAACAACTGTATAGACACGCATCCAAACAATCAGGAGTGCAGGGTCGAAGCTGGCCTTATATCAGTAATAGATAAGCATATTTGTGGTCTACAGTCACATATCACAAGCCTTGTCACCAGGAGCACATGCAAACAAGTATATAACCAAGACAGAATGACAGATGGAGCAAACTAATAACTTAATATGCCTACATTCATTTCCAAGCCTCCTTAGAATATCATATATGGGAAGCAGGAGAGACTTGCCTCAGAAACAATCCGCCTATCATGACTCTACTCAAATATTTAGAATTTTCACCATCACTGAGACTAGCCTGCAGAAATAAGCATAATATTATTGTAGTGTCATTCACTTCGAAAAGAAAGCTTACTCTATCCTATATAGGTGGTCGAAGCAACTATACCCGAGAAAAGAACAAGGACTGCATCAATAGTTCAAGCTGGAAATCTGCAAGTGAACATAAACTTTTACCAGTGAGGCATAACAAAACACATACCACCATCAGCTAGAAAGGAATTTTTGCATGAATCACAGAGCATAAGATGCACTAAAAAAAGATTTTAGGTGGCAAAACTAACCAGTATCCTTTATACACAAAAATATGTGGTCCACAACAATTGAAAGCAGAGAACATCCAGCAGCTTCATGAAAATGCTGCCCAAGTTATCAGAAAAGATAAGGTGCCCAGAGAAAAGAGTTTAGTTACTACTCCCTTCATCCCGGTGTTTTTTTCCAGTATTCCTTTTTGGGTTGTCTCATTGTTTTTGTCTACTTTCCCTTTTTAGTAAAATTTCAAGTGTCCAATTGACCTTTTTACCCATCAATTTAACTCCTCCCTCACCGAATTATTCTTATCACTGCCACCAGCCACCTATTCCAATGGGACGGCAACAGTGACTAAGAGGATGACACCGGCGACGATGGCGGCAACGACCATGACGAAGGAGATATGAATAGAGTCGCAAGAAGATCTAACCAAATCCATTATCACAAAGAGATCTGTCCAGATACCGGTTAGAAACAAGTCAACGTCAACAACGCCGGCAACGAAAAGGAGATCAGATTAGAGTCATGGATTTGACCAAAACCTAGAGATGAAGAAGACGACGGAGCTGCTGACAAAAAAAGAGATCTAACCAGAGTCAACAGAAAAAGATCGATTTGATGAATGACTATTGGCGACAGAGAGAACATGGACATATTCATCTGCGAACTAAGAAGAATTAAGAAGGTGGCGAAGGAGATTCCCCATCTCAACGAAAGAAGAAGGCGACAGAGCTTCAACCATTGGGAAATGAAGAAGACGGGAAGATTAAATGACGGAGTATTTGGATTAACCATAGACCTACCCCCATTTTCAATAGGCAGGGGTATTCTAGTCTAGACATTTCATCATCCTTTTCCCCTTCTCTTAGTCTTTGTGCCAACTGCGAAAAAGAAACTGGACAAAAAGAGTGGGACAGAGATAGTATCTTGTAATACTAGTTGGACTGTTAGACGTGGGGTTAAATAGGAGCAAATGTAAAAGTAAGATTGATCACAAAACTCCGCAAAGGGGAATCTGGCATCACACATTCTATTTGGTTGTGAAATCTACTAAAAAGCATAGTAGTTATATAAGGCCATACCTCGTGGGCATGTGGATTCACATCTCCTCTGTTTAAGCAGACATATAGGGCCGTCATGAACCGGAGAAGAGCTCTTAGTCCTGTTGTATCATGTCAAGATACTATGCAAGTGTGGTACTTCACTCCAAAAAAGGCAAAATCCAAAACTATAATCCCCAATTCCATAAAGAGTTTTTTTTAACAGTGGTACCACTTTTAAATTTTAGTTAGATAAAACTATTGAAAGTCATCAAATATCGCTGTATTTCGAATTTTATTTTGTCATTTTGCCTAAGTTCAGCATACCCATTTTGTTCTGGACAATCATTTATTTAAAAAAAACTCCAAAGATAATGAAGATTAGCTTCTTTTGTTTAAATGTGACACTTTTGAGATAACACAATGTTCCCAAACAGGATTCTTGTTTTGGGGCAGAGGGAGTAGCATAGAACATGCAGAGCAGTGTACTTGCCTGGCTCACTCAGAGATGGACAAACAGCTTCAGTAATGTGTAGCTGAACCTCAAGCCCCATTGGATCATTTAGTTCAGTCCTCTGGATGGTGATCTGCTTGCATAGGTAAAAATATGCTTCAATTTATATTACAAACGGTATCATCTTCTAAATAATGTCATTATAAGTTGTTCTACATTACATTGGCCTCTCCTGATATTCCTTCTACAAATCTCTCTCCACCAAAGAATACACGCTTTGCTCCATCTTCATCTTTCCTATCAGATCCCCCTTGAGAAGATGCAAAATGAGCCTCGGAGAACATGTCCGGGTGTGGTAACAGGTCAATTGAAAGATATTCCCACTTCAGCTTCTGCATATTAAAAATTAGGTATCAGAATGCATAGGGAATAAGTAATGATTCCATCATAATCACCACCACCACAACAACCTCAATCCCAACTACGTTGGAGTCCATGGAATGATGGTTATGGTGTTCGTTAAATGCTTAGAATTATTTTAATACCATAAACTTGAGCAAAAAAACATAGAGACTAAATTTTATACCAGATGCTCTTCCAGTCACAACCTTCTAGAAGGAAGGAATAATGAGATCAATTTTTAAAACATTCATCATTATAGGTTTTATTCACTTTCATGAAAAATACCATGAGACTGATGAATTGAGATAATTTTGATAGTCATGTCCCATACTAAATCCAGAGCACAAGGCGCTAGAAGAAAATGAATAGTCGACAAAATGAAAGCCAAATGCTAAACCATCATTTTCAAAACAAAACGTAAAAAATAAATAAAAATAGAACAGGGGAAAATCTATAAAGCAATTAGACCTTGAACACATATATGAAGTTCTTGTTACAGGAAAAGTCTCTGGCTTCCTTGAGATTTACAACCTGCTAATTTATATTGTGTTACTCGTAGACAACAGGTACAAGGTAAACAATACAAAACAAAATGTCAAAAAATAACCTGCCAGTTCTCATTTGTAGTATATAGTAGAAGGTTTCTTACAGTAATTGATGCCATAGGTGATGCCCTGGTGAAATGGTTTTAAAAATGAAAATAGAAGAAATTAGTTATTAAAAAAAAGAAGACAAAATAGTAGTTAGAAATCTTTACAGAAAAGATTGTAAATCATTGGGGCAGTGGAGGAAGGGGATTTACAATATGAAAGGTATATATACCACAGTAGCTTTATAGCCAAAGTAGACATAACCAGTATATCCCACTCTAAGGTACGATCTGAAGAGAGCTAGATGTACACAGAGTCACATACCTTACTGCTACCCTAAGTAATAAAAGCATATTTTCATGCAAACCCCCGATCCAGAAGTGATGCAAACAATGTAAAAAAGTGAATACAAAACAACAAAAGAGCCTCAAGGGAAATTGCAAACAATACGACAGTAAGTAAGCACTGAGCAGACAAACAAGTAGGTTGGTAAGTAAACAAGAAAGCAGGAAAACAAGACCAAGTAATGCCTACCAAACAAATCCCTAACTACATGGCCAAGAGAGCCCCAAGTCCGCACCATTGAATGCTCTCAAACCCTACAAGGAATCCAAAGCTTTAAACTGACAAACCCTATCAGAGGTTTAAGACTGTTTGTTTCAGCCTCAATTGCTCATCCCATGCCTCTACTCCTTGTCCCCCCAACCAAAATGATGTCCACCATCCTTGGCCAGTGCTGTCAGACCTTTCCAATGGACATCACCAAGTCATTGCAGTGTCCCCTCTCTTTATATTAAAATAAAGAGGAACCACTCCTACTTCATCTTGGAAGACCACATGGTACAGCCACATGCTCACCACAACGCCCTGATCTCTGCAGTTTCAAACATTCGCTCATGCGCCATCTTAATTTTCCAACCCTTAGTCAAACATCAAAAGTAGTCAGATAACCATCCTATAAAATTTTCCCTTCATTCTTAATGAGATATTCTAGTCACAAATCACTCCCTTGATAGCCATCCGTTTTAACCTCTGCCTTTATACGATGTGTGATGTTGTCCCCGATCAACCCTTCTTAGTGGATATAGAACCTAAATACTTGAGACAACCCTTTTGCGGAAGTCTCTACTCCCCAATGTTAACTTCTAGTCCCTCATGTATTTTTCCCTAAAGTTGCACCAGAGGTATTCTATCTTACAGCAGCCAATGCAAGCTTTGTGCCTCCAATATTAAGAACTTAGTCAACTGCTTTCTGAGAAGAAAATTAAACACACACTACATGAATTACCAAGTTGCTCCTCCGCGGTGTCCAGCACCACCATGAGTTTCAAGTAAAAGATTAACAGTATGCACTTCTAGAGTCATTCCATCAGCAATCTGATAATAATAAAGAGTACGCCTATCAATCACTTAGACCAAAACTGATGCAGTGAAAAAATGCAGTAAACTAGTGAAATAATCTTTAGATTAACAACATGCAAAAATTAGAAATATTGTGGATTTAAGAAACGATAACAAAAGAAAAGGCAAAATACCTCGTCTTATATAATGATTTGTATGTAACAGTAAAAGAAATACTAAAACATGCAATGTGCAATATTGAGCACCTTCCCATGGTTGAAGTCTTATAGCTTCTAAAAGTCCTTTTTCTCACTTTTTAAATATGGAGTACTTTTTATTAACTGCATTCTTGAGCCAACATGTGGGTTCCCTAAATAACTGAAACAACATATCTAAAACTTAATTTAAAATAAACCCTAAGTCAGCACCTCAAGCAGCGATTTTATTCTACCTTGCGCTTAAACTCCATGAGTTTGCCTCTCGGTTCAAGGCGTGTCTTGAGCCCTTAAGGCGACCTCTACCCCTTTTCAAAACCATGGGCATAAGGTATTGGTTATTCATGCAGCAAGCAAATCCACAAAAACTTGGAAGGTATTTTAATATCATTGTCGAGAGAAAAAGGCACAGAGAGATTTGCAAAATTGGTGTAAAATAAGAGAAAAAATTATCAACCTTGTCTGCTAAACCATATCCACTACTCTTTGTGGAGCTAGAAAGTGTTGTTCTACTGCAATCAGGGTAAGGAAACAGAGTAACCAGTTAAAAAACTATCAGCCAAGGAAAAAAGCAACACTTAAGAAAATCAATATTGTTAGGAACATACCTGCTAAAGCTATTAGGTGTATTAAAATCATTGTTCTCCTCCAGAACTATATCAAGCCTATCAATTTGGATGACTATTGGCTCTATTTGCACATTGCTTACTGCTGGGAGCTTTAAATAAAATATATACATTTTATACAAAGGATGAGAATCCAAAAGAAGAAAGTCAACAAAATTTAAATTGTAGTGATACTCACTCAAACTAGTCCTTAGTACAATACTACAATGCAATTGTGATATGTTATATTTCTCCATCCAATGATGTTGTATGCTATAAGACATGATCCCTTGACCTATCATATTTTTATTGACTATAATCCATGATAATAGGTTGGATTTTCTCTTGATCTCTAAGTATCATGTGTCTCTTTCTTTTTCCATCACCGCTTGCTACAACCTCTCATCACTCTTATTGTGTGCAATGCATCCAAGAGAGATGTTGAGCATGAATGACCCAATTTAATTAACTTGTATCCAAGTACTTAAATGATCACTATAGTACATCCATCGCATATTCCAACCCACACATCATGGAATTTAATATCCAATGCTCAATTGTAATGGTTGCCAGATGCAATGGTTGTTCAAAACTTCAAAAGAATTTTGATTTCTCCTTCCCCTGAGTTGTATGATCACACATAATAAGACACTTTTTAAGGAATAAGACACAAGCTTTTGAATCAATTGAACTTAGAAGTAGACAAGGTAGTTATGTTAGACATCGCTTATACATTTTCATCCCTATTAAGAGCAAAAGTATCTAAAGCTGTAAAGCATTAAGCATATATTTCCTGGCATTGCTGCTGCAGTGTTTGAAATCAACCATAAATGAACATGAACTAAAATTTAAAACGTAACCAGGTAGATAAGGTACAAACAATAATTTCCAATTTTCGGAGTTTGGCTGTGGAAACATTCAGTGCAGGCGGTAGCCCCACACTAGCATGCAATGCATCTCCATTTATATCTACAATAAACACAAACTGTCAAACAATATTACGGAAACATCTCAAAATTGAGCTTAAACGAAAATATTTCGATGAAAATAACCTAAATTAGAAAGCTGCACGGTGCGCCCTCTCAACTTAAACTGATCTCTACTGAACGACTTCAGCCAATACTTCAGCGTGTACTCCAGAGCTCGAGCTATTATTGACTCCATGAGAGAAGATAATAATTCTGCAAGTGTTGGGATCTAGGAAGGAACTGTCGGCCGGCGAAGCATCGGATCGGGTGCGAACGTATGTGGCATTATTAATGACCCTCCAATCTTTTTTCGCACAGTGCCACTCAAAACTCAGAGAACGGAAGACAATGGTGCTCAGTTTCCAAAATTGTTATCCTAATCCTGTTCTAGACTTTCCAAAGAGTCTTAACCTTAATCCATTCATTCACCTTAAACCCCTCAATAATTGACGGAGGTTGGGATATGAATTGGGTCTAGATTTGATGGGAAGTCAAAAAAAATTATAATATACTCCCTCCGTCCCAGAAAGAATGTCACGTTTACTATTCTAGCCTCTCGATAACTTTTGTTTGTTAACTCGATTTGGTTGACCATTTGATAAAATAAAATATTCTTGTCGCATCTTGTTTTGTAGAGCTTTTCATATACTTTTAAATGGTGTAATTCTTACTTGTTATTACTCTACCAATTTGAAATTAAAGTGATTTTAAAAGAGATGATATTTTGCACGTCGTTCGAAGTGTTGCAAATAAATTGGGACGGAGGGAGTATAAATTATCAATTTTACAAACAGAACATCTTAGTCATTTAAATTCAGATGGTGTCTTCCGTGACCACTCATCAAGTATGCATGTGTGTATATATGTATGTGTTTCTATGTATGTATGTATGTATGTCTGTATGCATGCATGTCTATATGAGTATATGTATGTTTCTATGTGTATATGTATGTATGTATATATCTGTATAATGTATGTATCTGTATGTATGTATGTATGAGTATATGTATGTATCTATGTGTGTGTGTTGGATATATGAACCCTAGAGGTCAATGTATGAATCAAGATCTGAATATTTATCAAGAATAAAAAGTCATAAAGGTTGTATATATATCTCGTGTATCTGAATATGACTTTAATCCATAGACTTAACGTTCTATTAGCATAGATTAGAACTATGATGTTCTAATTGTGAGGTTGTTACATTAATAGAGGTTATGTCTAAAATGTCATTAGTCGAATGTTCTGGTAATACAAACGTCATAATAAACTAAGACGAATACGTATGAGACAAGATAGTTGTGTCTTATAGGCTATAGATATTGTGATATCTCAATTATGCGTAGGTACATATCTGGGATATGGTACTGGACTGATCCACCATGAGAATACTACATGGGTATTATTTTAAATGTGTTAGTTGTATTCTCATTCGACCATTGGTATAATTATCCTTAGATTTGAGGTCATTACGATCTTTAATATTTTGACCTATATGCTTTGATTCATATCTAATGTCATCTGAAATATTTGTGGACATGCAATTATTTTTTGGGTATATAGTTAAACATATGTAAATGCGTGAATGACGTAGAAAGAATTTATCCCTTCCATAGTGATGAAGTGTAATGTCTTCAGGCTCACTGATTGATGTGACTTGGGAAGTGTATGGTCATACCCAGATAAATTAATATATACTTCCTCCGTCCCAAACTATAATACCTGTTCACTATTGACAGGGTCAAACTTCATTCACTTTCTTTCTCAATTTTCGTTACCAATTTGATAAAATAAAGTACTATTGTCACTACTAGTTTTGTAGATCTTTTGATGTAGTATTTTAATATGTAATTTTTATTTTTTAACAATATACCATTTGTCATATAAAATGATTTGAAAATAATTTCAGTCAAACATCGTAAACCGAAACAGGCGTTATAAAATGGGACGGAGGGAGTATAATATTAATGTTATTTGGATTCCACAAATCAATATGAGAATCAGTAAACCAACGATTTACCTCTAACAAGGTTATTACACTTCTCATACCTTGTGTTAAATCAAAACGTTAGAGATAAAGGGATAAGAGTTGTACAAATGAGATGTATCGTTGGAGGTATTGTTGCAATGAACTTTATGTTTATAACATTGGTAAGGATAATGTGTTGCTAGATTCCGCTTATCGTTTAAAGTATTAAATTGTGATTAATACTATTGATAATCGTAGTTTTTCGGGTAGTAAACCTTCCTAGTAAAGGGTTAGTTTTCTCTCCGAGTGTCGTGTCTCTTGAGGAGTGGACGAAGGGAATTATTTAATTTCTCTAACTAGGCGAAGGTTAGGATAGGTTTATAAAAGTCTTCTCAGAACGATAATGAAGGGAGCTGAGTAACAATAATAAATAAATTTCACATAGTATAAGTACAGATCTGGACCTAGGGTCAGAACATCATTTGGATCTACTTTATCATATTTAACTAATAATTGGAATAATAATATTTTTATTATTACTCACCTATTTCTAGGTTTTATACTTAATCTGTTGCCTTGAATATGATAGCCTTCCGACATATAGTATTTTCTCAATAAATAGCTAATTAAATCTTTCAATATTAATTAACTAAATAAGGTAGTGACAAAAGACTAACCATTCCGACATTAATTTAACATTAAAAGCATACAACCAAACTAGTCCAGACCCAGATATCCGGAGCCTAACTCATACTATGCAAACATAAATTAAAATAGTATTTTACTAAATGAAGAAAACTTACAGCTTCTGTATAAGCGGAATAGAACAGATCTGGAGTCAAAACTTCCGAAAATACTTCAAAACTACTACTAAAACTAGGATAAATTTCAGTAATGGTACCTGAACTTTCACTGGAATTTCGAAGTGGTACCTAAACTTCAAATCCTTTCACAAAAATCCCTGAACTTACATGATTCTTTCACTAAAAGTCCATTTACCGTTTCCAGGTTAACTTCCGGTCATTTGGGCTAAATTAGAATTTTATATGTTTTAAAATTTTCAATTTGACCCCATTTCTTTTTTTCTTCTTCTTCCCTCTCCCCTCCCATCTTTTTCTTCTTCTTTCACCCCTTTCTTCTTCTTCTTCTTCCCCACCCCACCCTAGCTCCGTTGCCTTGTAGAATGAGCACAGACGTGTATGTTTTTATTTTAAATAATTTAAATTAAATATTAAAAAATAATAATATTAAAAATTAGGAGAAGTGAAGGAGAATGGCACCTGGAAATAATGACAAAAAAAGAGGTAGGGTAAAGTTGAAACAAATAATAATACCAGCAATTATTATTATTATTAGTACACCAATTGAATTAGGCACTTTTACAAAACATATCATTAACACAAATTCCAAAAGGTAGCTCCAGATCACACTCAAAGAATTTGATCGGAAAGTGACGGAAGTCGCCAGAAAAAGTTGACGGGGACGGACGGCATGTCCCCTCTGAACCTTGGGTGGCAGAGGTAGTAAAATCCGTCAACCAAAACAAACACCTTAAACTCAAAAGGGAGTAGGGTGGGGTGAGGAAGAAGAAGAAGAAAGGGGGTGAAAGAAAAGAAAAAGAAGGGTGTGGGAGGGGGAAGAAGAAGAAAAAAAGAAATGGGGTCAAATTGAAAATTTTAAAACATATAAAATTCTAATTTAGCCCCCAAATGACCGGAAGTTAACCTAGAAACGGGTAAATGGACTTTTAGTGAAAGAATCATGTAAGTTCAGGGATTTTTGTGAAAGGATTTGAAGTTTAGGTACCACTTCGAAATTCCAGTGAAAGTTCAAGTGCCATTACTGAAATTTACCCACTAAAACTATTATACAAGAAATATTGAGTATAATAGAAGGAGGAAAATTAGAAACCACGTTCTTGCAAAAGTATTTGTCAAAATGTAAGGGTTTAATTTTCTTTGGTATAACTTTATCATGTTGATACGAGACAAATTTCTAACCTCATCCCGTGACATAGAACCACGAGCTTTTTGGATAGTCCCTCTGGAAAGTCTAATCACACGACATAAAACTGCATGCTTTTTGACTTAAACACTCAAAACCGTCTCATCACGTAATTTAGAATCACATACTTTTTGGCTTTTTCACAATGCCTCATCAGTTGCCCTAGAACCAACTGTTTTTTTGGCTAAAACAAGAATCTCGATCTCACCAAAGTATGCTTTGAAACGTCACCCCGTATACTTTGAAAATAACTCTTTTTAAGAAACAACAAATACTCATAGCCCGAAAGATAAATGAGTATTTGCAAAAAGATTTTCAATAAATCAACTAAAAATTGATTGATCTTAAAAACTCTTACTGAATTATGAATTTATCCCAAATCATTTTAGAAAACATTTCCAAAAGGTTAGAGTAAAAATAAAAGTTTGAAAAAAAGTTTTAAAATTTCCAATTTTTACGGGTGATAACTAAAGATTAATTAATCAAACAATGAAATTGATGACTATTTTATAAAATCCTTTCCTAAAAATATATAGACAAAATAATTCCTAAAAAGATCATTTCAACCACGAACTCTTACCTCCTCACACTTAAACGGAACCACGTCCTCGTGGTTAAAAGTGTTTTGGAATTGGAGTTAATGGTTGAAATGTCCACATGCAATCACTACATTGTCCAAATACTTAAAGGATTCAATGATGAAGATTGAAATAGAAATTAATCATATCTTTAAAAAAATTGGGGGAAAGGGCGTAAAACACAGAGAACTGTTGACTAATTATCGAGTAGGATTGGGATTGCCCAAGATATTCTAGTTCAAGTAGGAATAGAATTATGGATCCTAGATTACTTGTTGGCCAAGTTGGGTTAACACTATATATATCATAGCCAAGCCTTGGGTTTTGATATGAGAGCCATATGAGAAACATATGAGAGTTTATTGTAATTGGTTTTGAGTTATTTTTCAGTTATAATAAAAGATTGTCCAACAATTGGTATCAGAGCTAGATTGTTCAACACAAGCACAAATTGAAAAAAAACTTGTCACGAAGGGTTGGAGCCGACGTCGCAGTCATCCGGATCCAAGATTGAACTCGCCGCCGCCGATAGACGCGCGCAGATCTGAGCCTCTGAGGGAGAGTCGCTCCGATCAACCTGCCGCCGTCGCAGAGTTGAGGAGCCGCGCCGCGTTGAGGAGTACGTCGTTGTCCTCAGATTGACGCCGCTGGTTCGAGGAGATCGACACCGCTGGCTCAAGGGCCGCTGATCCGTCTGTGCGCCGCCAATCGCGTGCCGCCATCGTCCACTTGCCTAGCCGTCCTGCCGCCGCCGTCCAGATCGTGTCACCGTCGCCGTCGCTGAATTGAAGGAGAAGTGACTCTATCGAACAAGACCACCGCCGCCGTCGAGAGGAGTCGCTGGTCGGGATCTGTCATCGTCGCTTCGTCTTGTCGCTGTCGTGGAGGAATTACCGTTGCGTCGCCATCTTGCTCATCGCTGCCGATAGCCGCGTGCAGAAGGAGCTACCGTCTTCAGTTGAGGCGCCGCCGCTGTCGCCCAGATTCTTTGTCGTGCAGAAGGTCCAAAGCCGAGCCGCCCAGTGCTGAGAAAAAAAGGGAAGAGGAACGACCTGTGGTAAGCCCTTTTCTTTGTTTGGATTGGATTGGGATCTATTTGGTGGTCTGGGCCAAAGAATTGAAATTAGTGTGGTGGGCCTGATTTCATGAAAAAAGGATTGGATTAAACAAGTAAGGTTTAATCAAATTTGCTTTAAACTCAAGTACTAGATCCTGTTACACCACTCTTGATGTATAGTCGATGCAAGAAAAATATGACAGAATCCGAGACACCACAGCCGAAGGTTAAGGGAGTTGGGCTTACAGATGTCCAATGTCCCATGCTAAACGCTACAAACGACACCGTATGGGCCATGAGAATGAAGTCATCTTAAGGGTTTATAAGGTGTGGGAAACGATTGAACCAGGCGCGGCTTATGCCGAGAAGAATGATATGGCAACTGCACTGTTGTTTCAATCAATTCCAGAAAATCTGATATTGCAGGTAGGCAATGAGGAGACTGCGAAGGATCTGTGGGATGCAATCAAAACTCGTCACTTGGGGGCTGAGAGGGTTAGAGAAGCTCATCTCCAAACCCTAAATGCAGAATTTGATAATTTGAAAATGCATTATTCAGAGTCAATTGATGATTTTGCTGAGAAGTTATCAAGTTTGGCTTCAAAATCCGTAGCCCTTGGAGAAGAGATCGAAGAGAAAAAGATGGTTAAGAAGTTTCTAAAGTCTCTTCCTCGTTCGAAATACATCCATATAGTCGCCTCGTTGGAACAAGTCCTAGATTTGAATAAACTAGGATTTCAAGAAAACCATAGGCCGGTTGAAAGCCTACGAAGAGCGAATCAAGGAAGAGGATATAGAAACACAGAGTAAACTATTATTCTCCAATGGTGAAAGCTCTCATTCTCAAAGGGGAGAAAACGGATCGAGAGGACAAAGCCGATGCAACCAAGGTCGAGGAAGAGACCAAGACCAAGATGATGATGACCAAGATGGAAGTCAATGCCGAGATGGTCAAGATCATGGGTCAAAGAGAACGGGTCAAAGAAGAACCAATGATCGTCAGAAGGGAAGAAAGGATAGATCAAAGGTTCAGTGTTTTCGATGTGATAAATTTGGTCACTTTGCATCAATGTGCCCGGAGCGTACGAAGAAACAAGAGGAAGCTAATTTAGATGAAATTGATGTTTTGGATCCATCTTTGTTCATGATGAGATGTGATCAAGAGAATGTCTTTTTAAATGAAGAAGGGGTGATTCCAAAGCGTTTCGAGGTTGAACCAAAGGAGAAAGACATTTGGTATCTCGACAACGGAGCATCGAATCACATGACGGGTAATCAAGCTTACTTCTTTGAACTTAATGAACGTGTCACGGGAAAGGTGAAGTTTGGAGATGGATCTTGTATTGACATACGAGGAAAGGGATCTGTATTACTTGAAGGGAAAACAAGGGAGCAGCGCCTGTTAACCGATGTGTACTACATACCCAGCCTACAAAGCAACATCATAAGCCTTGGTCAAGCAACGGAAGGTGGATGCGCCATTCACATGAAGTGCGATTTGCTAACCATTCATGATGACACGGGGAAGCTTATGATGAAGGTGACGAGGACCAAGAATTGTTTGTACAAGATCAATCTCAAGATAACAAGTCCCAGTGCACAAGTTAGCATGATTGGAATGGAGAATTTTGTGGGTAGGGATTTACAAAGAGTTGATCAACTGAAAGAAGGTACGCGAAGTACGAGTCAGAATCTTCTCGGAGATCCAAGTTTAATGGAGAAACCCAAAATTCAAAGTCCAAAGAAGAATGTTCAAGAGTTTAAAGGAGATGTCAAGAAAAGGATTCTAACTCAAGGAAGAACGTGTAATGATCGCAAGGAGCAAGTGTTTGTTCAAGCTAAGTGGAGCCCGAAGAGCACTGCAAGGGATCATGAAGAGCCTCGGGAGAATCAAGATAAAGAAGACATGCTTGGAGTTGAAGATCACCCGCAATCCAACTCGAAAATTAGGGGGGTGACTGTTGACTAATTATCGAGTAGGATTAGGATTGCCCGAGATATTCTAGTTCAAGTAGGAATAGAATTATGGATCCTAGATTACTTGTTGGCCAAGTTGGGCTAACACTATATATATCATAGCCAAGCCTTGGGTTTTGATATGAGAGCCATATGAGAAACATATGAGAGTTTATTGTAATTGGTTTTGAGTTATTTTTCAGTTATAATAAAAGATTGTTTCCAACAAGAACTTCCCCACTTATGTGTTTCAAAAGAGTCTTAACCAGGAATTCCATATAAAATCAATTTTAGATCACCAAAATCATGTTCAAAATAGCATGAATGTTAGAAAAGTAGAATTTACTGAGGAGGCCAATATCCTCTTAGTAACTCATTTCAACCAAGATTGTTGGATCAAGAAGCATCAGAGGCTGGTGGTGGTCCCAAAGTGGTGAAATACAAAGTCTAGAGTGGGGGTGAATAGACTTTGTTACAGATTTAAAATCTTTTTTGTTTCTTTTGAAAACGTAAAAATAAGTGTTAATCTAGAGTTCTTGTGAACTTTAGATTATGTGCGGAATTTGGTGGGTAGAGTGAGCAGTAATCAATATGGATGGGTCAGTTTTCACAGTTAATATAATTACGAGTAAGAGTAAAGATAAAAGAGAGAGACACGCAAACTTTAACGAGGTTCGAAGGTGGGGTAATCCTTCTACGTCCTCAAAATCCACTATGTAGTTGGTTGTTGAATAATGAACCAACAATTACACTTGTGTGAATTTCTGCACGGTATATCTTCGCAAGGCCAATGTTGCTACTGCACTCATGCTGGCTTTGTTGTTCCTTCGAAGGTCACGCTTCTTCAACAACTGCAACGTCCGAACAATAGGACTTGCAAGATCAACTTGTAAGAAAGTTGACCTACCCCCTTTTAATCAAGAAGTTTGATCAAAAGTTGTATCCTTCAACGTGGTGTGGTACTTGAGGCAAGGAAACCTTCAAGTGTTTACACTATAGCTCTTTGGAAGGGGGAGGAGTTTGCTTCTGGATAAGGAGTTTAGAAATCTCTCTTTATCAAGCTTTTTGGGCTAACTGTGAATGAGATAGCTTAGAGATTGCTTTGTTGTGTTGTTGTATCAACGTATCTCATCATATCTTCTCCAGTCTTCCAAGGATGCTATTTATAGCTGGATTGGATAATCTATCCGTTGAATCATAATAGACTATCCGTTGCATTTGCTGGCTTCAATTTTGAATGAAGATTGTGATTTGAAGATTCTTTGTTGAAGTGGGTGTTTGGACGTACCCAATTGTTGAGAAAGGATTCCTTTTTCCACAGAATCCGTCTTCTAGCTGTTGTTCAAGAATTCAAGACTGTAGCACTTTACTCTGTTTGTCCTCTAGTGCTTGTTTAGGAATTCTGGACAGGCTCTTCAATTTTAGAGGCCCAGACTTTGTCTTCGAGTAATTTGTTCTTGAATCAGCATAATTATCTTCAATCTAGCCGTTGAAAATCAAGAGATTGATTTTTCCTTACCAACGGGTAGAATTTCTTCATTCA